TACGCTGGGCACAAAGGAAATCCAAGATGGCCGCTGCCTCGTGGTTGGTAGCCGAACGACGGCCACCCGGGAATCAATTAACAGCCGATAGATACAATGTTTCAATCGGTTAATGAGAGCTACACGACCCCCTGTGTGTGGGTTCCCATTCGGTACTTTGTTAGTTTCACGAACAGTGTTGAAAATCACTGTTTGTGAAACTACCATATGAATGCTAGCAGCTTTCGTGCCCTCTTTCACATTTTAAACAGATACATCAAACTGCATATATAAACCAGTCTTTCTAGGGCAACAGTTAAAGGGAAACCAAAATAGTCTGAAGTTGCTAGGTTTGCCACAATTCTCCCCCAGAACCAAGCCGGCATACACAGTCTGATCCCACCGGATCGGCTTGGGGAAGTCCGGAGGAGTACTCACAGATCATTTTTGAAGTTCAGTTTGTCTGGATAACCCGTCGGCATTACCGTTTTGCTTTCTGGGACGATAATGAATGGTAAAATCTAATGGCTGCAGTGCCAAGCTCCAGCGCAGTAGCCTGGCATTGTCCCCAGCCACACGGTTTAGCCACACCAACGGGTTGTGATCTGTAAGTAAGGAAAAGGGTTGTCCATACAGGTAAGGTTGCAACTTTTTGAGGGTCCACACCATGGCCAGGCATTCTTTCTCAATGGCGGTGTAGCTTACTTCACGTGGCAATAACTTTCTGCTTAAGTAAGCTACAGGATGTTCTCCACCATCTGCTCCAACTTGGCTCAGCACTGCTCCCAATCCAAACATTGAAGCGTCTGTGTGGACAAGAAATTGTTTAGTTGGATCAGGAGCAGCAAATACAGGTGCATTGGTTAAAGCAGTCTTAAGTTGTTGAAATGCCTGATCACACTCTGGGGCCCAGATGACCTGTCGAGGAAGATTTTTGTGGGTCAAGTCAGTCAGGGGTTTGGCCAGGGCACTGTAATTGGGTACAAACTTCTGGGAGTATTCTGCGGTACCCAGGAATGCTAACACTTGGGTTTTTGTCTGGGGGTAGGCCACTTAGTTGCAGCCTCTATTTTGTCTGGTGCCGGTTTCTTCTGTCCACTCCCTACACTGTGCACAAGGTACTGTACCTCTGCCATCCCTATATGACACTTACTGGGTTTTAGCGTCAACCCTGCCTCTCCAATACGGTCAATGACAGCTCCAATGTGTCGCAGATGGTCGGACCACGTCTGGCTTTATATGGCGATATCATCCAGGTATGCACATGCATACTCCTGGAACCCATCCAGTAGCCGATCTACCTTCCTTTGAAAGGTAGCCAGAGCGTTTTTCATACACAATGGCATGACTCGAAACTGGTACAGGCCAAACGGGGTGACAAACGCCGACTTGGGGATGGCATCCTCGGCTAAAGGAATCTGCCAGTACCCTTTGCACAAGTCTATCGTAGTGAGGTACTGGCCTCGTGCCATCTTATCTAGCAGCTCGTCTATCCGGGGCATCAGGTAGGCATTAGACACTGTTTTGTCATTTAGCCTCCGGTAGTCAACACAGAAGCGTGTCATGCCATCCTTCTTGGGTACTAGCACTACCGGTGATGGCCAGGGGCTATTGGAATGTTCGATAACCCCTAGCTGCAACATCTCCTCAATTTCTTTCCGTATATGTTCCCTGACTGCTTCAGGGATACGGTATGGGGTCTGCCGCATCGGTAGCTGTCCTGGGGTCTCTACCCGGTGAGTGGCTAGCGGGGTGTACCCTGGTAAATTGGATAAAGTGGCTTCCTTAGCCACAATTAACTCCTGTACCTGGGCACGCTCCTGAGGACTTAGCCGCTCCCCCAGATGAACACCTGCGGAGTTCTCTGCTTGATCCTCTCTTTCTAATAAATCGGGTAGCGGGAGATTCTCCTGATCCTCAGAGGCTGATGGGCATATACCTGCCACATCCTCTATCCTCTCATGGTAGGGTTTGAGCATATTCACGTTGAGCATGCGTCTCTTCCCTACCCCTGAGCAGGGGCCAATCACATAGGTGGTGTCACATCTCTGTTCCACCACTTGGTATGGGCCTTGCCAGATGGCCTGCAGCTTGTCATTGTGGACAGGTTTTAAAATCAAAACTTTCTGTCTCACTTGAAAGCTGCGGTCTCTGGCTCCCCTATCATACCATCGGCGCTGCAGTTGTTGGGCCGCCTGGAGGTTTACCTGTACGGTCTGGGTCAGTGCCTCCAAGCGGTCCCTGAACTCCAGCACATATAGTACAATGGGTATCCCATCTGCACTGTGCTCCCATCTTCCCAATGCTCTCTAATTAAATCTAGGGGTCCTCTCACCCTTCTCCCAAACAGTAATTCAAAGGGGGAAAACCCGGTGGACTCTTGAGGTACCTCTCTGTAAGCGAACAGCAGATGGGGTAAGAATCACTCCCAGTACTTATGGGCCTCTCCAAATGTACGGAGCATCTGCTTTAAAGTTCCACTGAACCTTTCACATAACCCATTGGACTGAGGGTGGTATGCAGAATCCACAATAGGCTTTATGCTACATATTTTCCAGAGTTGGTGGGTTACTTCGGCTGTGAATTGCATACCTCTATCTGAGATTATCTCCTGGGGGAATCCCACCCGGGAAAAGACTTTCATTAAGTCTTCTGCCACTGTCGCTGCATGGATATTGGGGAGGGCTACTGCCTCGGAGTACCTGGTGGAGTAATCAACCACGGTCAAGATGTACTTCTTGCCGGAGGAACTGGGTTTGGGTAAGAGTCCTACTATGTCTACGGCCACCCTACTAAACGGTTCTTCTATGATGGGTAGTGGGCATAATTTGGCCTTGTGTCAGTCACCCCTTTTGCCTACTGTCTGACAGATGTCGCACGTCTGGCAGTATTGCCTCACATCTTTAGATATACCTGGCCAGAAGAATGCAAGGGTCAGTATTTAGTTCGGGTCATACCCAGATGCCCAGACAATGGAATGTCATGAGCGATACTAAGGAGTTACTGTCAATATTTCTGGGGTACTACCAGCTGTCTAGTAGCAACATTTACAGATCCCCCCACTACCCTTTCAGCAATACGGTACAATAACCCCTTTTCCCAAGCATACCGCTCCCCCTTACCCTGCCTGATCTGAGGTCACCCTATCTCTATACACTTTCAACGTAGGGTCTACCTTAACCTCTGCCCCAAATTCAGTCGGGGTATCCTAGGGAACACAAGTCATAGGGGGTACATTGTCCCTTACCTGAGCCTCAGAGTGTGGGAACGAAGACGCGGTGCGAGCTGGTTGCCTTGTGGTTACCGGGTGCGCCTCTTGGAGTGGGGTTTGAGGTACAAAAGCAGAAGTCATTCTGCCCAGGTCATTTCCCAATACAACATCTGCTGGCAGTTTTTCCATCAAGCCCACCTCTACTACCCCTTCCCCCACACCCCAATTCAAGTGTACTTTTGCGATTGGCAATCGGTACATCGCTCCCCCTGCTACTCGGACTGCCATGGATCCACCTGTGTGTGCCAAGCCTGGAACCAAATGAGGTGCTACTAGAGTCAGAGTGGCCCCCGAATCTCGGAGCCCTTGTACTTCTTTCCCCTCCAAGATTACCATCTGGCGATGAGGGTGCCTATTGTCTGTGGCTTGTACAGACATCACGTCATACAGTATTCCCAGGGGCTCTTAGGTGTGATCAAACATTAGCTCCTGGGGTGCTGGCTCTGCCTGGTAGTAGTGCGCGGCTGCTCGTGGTGCTGGGTTCGGTCGTACTTGACTCCATGCTTGACGGCTCCGGTTCTGCATACATTCTCTCGCCATGTGGCCCCATTGCTTACAGGCATGGCACTGAATGTTAAATCGCCCATTGTATCGGGACAGTGGAGTTTGCACCCCAGTTGCTGGCCAGAATGGGGTTGTTGTGGTTGCAGTAGTAGTAGCTGTAGGAGGTTGGGTGGAAGGTCGAGGATACCCTCGATTGACGTTACTATAATGTCTCCTGGTGTCATAGTGCTGGTCCGCCAGTCGTGCAGCTTCTGTTAGGGTGAGGGGTTTTCTGTGTCTCACCCATTCTTGTGCCTCTGGTGTCAGACTATTGTAAAACTGCTCCAACAA